ATTTTTAGAACTGTAAGTTCTATGCTAAAATTTTCCTCACTCGCACTTCTCACTTGTGAAACTCTCTTCCAGCTTCTGGCTTTCCTGCTAACTTTAATCTTCAAGACTTTAAATGCATTGTCAATCGTTATATAATTCCTGTTCTTTTATTGTTTTCTCTACTTTATAATATTCCTTACTACCAGAAACGAAATATTGGTAACCGCCGTTATTTTCATCAATGATGCTGTTCTGTAGCAGATCACCACAAAAAGTAAACGGTAATCAGAGGAAACCAATATAAAGAGGGGAAATTTGATTTTTGGTGATAGAATGCATAAGCGAGATGAGTACAACCCGAATTAAGAATTCGGCTATAGAAATATTAAAACGATCACTAACAAAAGATTCTGCTGATAAAATGTAGGCTATGAATATTTCAGGAATTGAAAGTACAGGATGAAATTTTGAAATTGACATTTTAATTGAATATTTTGATTTCATATCTAAAATGGATATTACGGTATATTCTAAGTCCTATATTGAATACTTCAATCAGTTACCTTATGATTTTATCCCGAAATAGCCTTCATCAATTTTGTTTAAATATTCAGTTAATTCAGACACTTAAAATTAAAGGTCTTGGAGCACAAATTTCATTTTTCGTAATAGGCCAACCATTGGGTGTAAGGCAGCAACCTAACAACCCAACAATCCAACAATGTATTTAATATAATGAAATAATTTTCCATATAATTTATTTTCAGTATTTATGAAATTTCTTAATACTGCATTAAGAGATTTAAAATATTTCTTTTCCATTTCTTGTTTTCAGTGGATTAAAATTCATTTAGTGTAATAATTTGACCAGGGAAAATTTCATGAGTGTTAACAAGTAAGGTTATCCATTATCTTATGCATCTCCATTTGATTTATTGCCTCATTCTCTCCCTAATCTATTTCAGTCTTTGCTGGATTTTCATGGTTTTATTCAAATGTTATACAAGGTAGTTTCATATAAAAGGGACATATTTTTCATAAAGAAATTTATGTATCGCAATATCGCAGTATTTTAACTACATTTCTATTCCTTCATTGTCTTTTGATAGAAATCTTGTTTCTCTGTCTTTCCTTCTCTTCATATATATATATATATATATATATATATATATATATATATATATATATATATATAGTAGTAGTAGTAAAGTAGTTTTATTTTGTTCTTTCCTTTTTTGAATAAGTTTCTTCAAATGTTCTTTAAACCACGCGCATCCTTGTAGATATTGCTATAATCATTTATTTTCGAAATATTGTTATTTTATTTTTTTTTTTTTTTACCTATTTATTTTCATATTTAAAGCTACATTGAAACTTTCCCTGTTCAGGTTAATTAGCATTTATAAAAATTAATCTGGTATTTCCTATCTTAGTACAATCAGCAAATTGCAAATGGTTCAACAAACATTCTCCGTTTATATTTATTCTTATTTCTTTCTAGTTCATTTACCGTAGAAAAAAACATTCCAGTGATGCAGTATAGTTTAGACGAAGTCGTATCCTCTTGTTTCCTTTTCTGATATTTATTTTATCTGTAACTTGGTGGAGCCAAATACGTATCTTATACATGTCTCAATAGCTTTTACATCATTTTTGTTAATATGTTCTCGTGTTAAAAATGCGATTACCAAGTCAAATGACTTTACATCGTCAGCTTAAGGCAAACGTAGTTATTTGTTATATTCTGCTTTTGTTCGATCAACTGGCTTATTGTTTCTAGATGGTTCATTTTTGAGTAACTGCTAATAAATCTTATTAGTTTAAGTTACTGATTTTCATCAAAGACTTTTTTATGTATACATTTTTGAGCATATTTTATACATGTTCGACTGTACTGTAATAGAATTGATTGTTATGATGATCTTTTTATGATGCTGAGGCAAAAGAAATTGATAAAACTTGCAAATGCAACTTCAAGACAAAACCTAGCAAATCTAAACACTTGAAATGACAAAATAAAAGAAAAAACCGAGATTAAATAAACAAAGAAAGACCTAAAAAGATCGTTACAAAATAGAAACTTAAACAGAAAAGACAGACATCTACCTACGCAAAAAACCAAAGTGCTCAATGTCTACATCAGATCAACTAAAAGGACAATAACCCTAACAAACGGCACAGCACAAAAGAGACTGAAATCAAATCGCTACTCGGAGATTTTTTCGCAACGAGAAATTCAGAGTAATGATATAATGAGTTAAATTACTTTTCCTAGACTAAAGTTTTCAGGTAGGTTTCTTTTATGTTTATACTTGGTAAAGGATTGTAATAATCCTTTGTAGAATCTTTCTTCTGCATTCTAAAGGTTTCTTATTTTGACATCGTTGCCTTGTGATTTTCCGCGTTTTGCATTAATAAGAACAAACATTATTTTTTTTGTTCGTATCTCTGTTAGTATCTGGCGGAATTAATTTTTTTTTATCTTTTTTATTTTAAAGCTACACTGGTTTGCACAGCACTCATCGGTTATTAACATCTTGTTCATGCATTTGATAAATTCCTGATGCCTGAATTTTAATGTAAGAATTTGCTATTTATCTGTGTTAGCTGCGAATCGAATATGTTTCAAAACCCTCTCTTCTACCGTTTCCAAGTTCAGCTTCATATTTTCTTTTGTCAATCTTTTGTAGTTTAATTCTGCATAATCAGTTTTATCTCTTTTAGTTTTTTGCTGATATTTATCTCGATTTTATCAGAGTCCAATTGTCGATTCGAATATTCTCTTGTGCTATTTTCATCCGTTTTTCTATTCTCTGCACTTTTTTCTTAATTATCGGTCTGAATTTCATTCATATCTACATTATCTTCACTACTCCCTCAAGTCTCAAATATGGTCTAGAGTTCTGCCTAAAATTCTGTTATTGAATTTCTCTGTTTTATACAGAAGCTTGATTGTGCAAATTGCAATTCTATTAATAATTCCTATATTAACTTTGCTTATAGCTATTATATATTGGTATTGGTTTTGTTAGTAATAATGAAATCATTATTATTGTTCTTCACCCATGTACAACTCCTTCATTTTAAAAAAAAATAGTATTCATAATTGTCATTTCGTTAACTAATATTTCCCCTCTTTCATTCTGCTTTCATTTCCAAAATGTTCCTTTTCTATAATCTCCACTTTTCCTTTTTCGTGATTTGCACTGAAGTCGTATATTAAAGTTTAATTGTTTTTTCTCTGTCCATAACCTTGTTGGTGTGGTCGTAAATCTTTTGGAATTTGTACTAGACTTGGATTAATTTCAGCCTATATTTTTTTAATCTAATTAATATCCAAAGAGAATGATATAAGAGTATATAAATGCTCCCTCAAAAATCTAGACGACCAGAACCTGACAGCTGATCTGTTTTCTGACTTAGCTTGTACTGGTTTGTAACATTCAATATGCCTCAAAACAAGCTAGTAAAGTTTCATCATCACAAAAAAGACCCTCAATTTTTGCCTATCATTTTTTTAAGCTTTTCACCCCAAGCAAGGCGGGAGTGCCACTGGTACGCAAGGGGTTACAGAGAGTAGGAGCAAGAGTAAAGAGGCGTGAAAAAGGAAAGGATGAAGAGAAGGACGGGGAATATATCAATGCATCTGGAGATGTCAACTGACATTGCATTTGAATAGTTGGAATTTATATCTATCAGGGAAGCAAGTAAGAGGAAGAGAGTTCCACAGACGCGAAGCGCGAGACATGATGCTATTGCAGAAGAGACGGCTACATTTAACCGTTTCGACAGTGAAAGGGTGGGACTAAGCTGACCTAGTGGTACGTTTAAATTCATGTAGATTGGGAACTAACGAAAACAGATCATCGGAGCAGTTACCGTGAAAGTATTTGTATAAAAGACAGAGGGGGCGACGGCATAAGGAACAGATAAGGAACATTGTAGGATACAGGATAGAGCCTTGGTGAACACCTGCGTTCGTGGGAAAGGAACTGGAGGAGAATCCGATTAAGGACGAACTTCATTTCACGGTTTGACAGGAATGATTGTATTAAGTCAAATAATTGTCCTGAAATACCGTATCCCTGAAGCTTGCGTAGGAGGCTGGCAGGCAAAACCTTATCAAGTGCTTTAGAGATATCTAGAGAACGGCACGATCTTCTCCGTTATTGTGAAGTGCTTCGTAAACAAATTCAGTTAAGACCGTGAGCACATCAGCTGCAGATCGGGCAAAGTGGAAACCATATCGCTTATCAGAGAGCAGATCATGGGACGATGAACGGTTGTACTCTTAGGAAGAATCCTTACCTTGAACGTCTATTAGGACTGAAATTTAATGGAACGTGTATATACGATCCATTACTAAAGATGCTGATAAAATGGACAGTTCTTTGTATCGCTTCAGAAAGTACCTGTCTCCTCCTGTAGAGTTCTATATATTCTATGAGGCCGGGTCAGGCCAAAAATTGATTATTGCTGCCATATCGAGACTGGAAATGTCCAACCTCATTTCCTAGCATTTAAAGAATTCAAAAATGCATTGAAAGAAAAATTCATAGAATTTTTTTTTTTTTTTAAATTCCCTGTGGGTGATTTTGAGAAATCTATAACTTTACAGAGGGACAGATTGATTGGCCAATCTGTTCGAATATTCTGAATTTTGGGGTTACTTTGGGTATATATATATTCGAAATGGAGCGAAATTTAAGTTCAAAGAAGGCATTTAAATTATTTAAAATGCGTTTTTCATTTTTTATTTTATATATATTTTTTAGCAAGTCCGATGCAGTACCTAAAATAAATAATTTTTAATTTATTTTAATTCCTTCTTGGATTATGATTTTACCAGCTCTGAAATTTGATATGAGGAAAGTGTAAGAAACACAATACAAAAAACAGATCGGATAGAATATAAATATATAAAGAAGAAACAATAAAACAAAACGTTAGCCGTGAGTCAATGATGTCATTATTTTATTTTTCAATACATTTGAATGGATCTTGATTATAGTTGTACTTACAAAGACATAGGAGGAGGGAAATGGATGTGAGGTGATTCTGCAGGGAGGGGATTTGGCGGGATCCGTCATTGGTACGACGGGAGAGCAAGATAAAGAGAGAGTGAGAGGGCATATGTAAACAACATGGTGACGGTGGCGGAGACAGTGACAACGACAGCAGCAGTTGCTACCTGACAAAATGACGGGTTCTACATCTTGGTCAATAAAATAAACTTCTGTCAGTTTTGAGTGGCAGAAGTCGGGGACTAGTTGAAGAAACGTTGTAGCAGCAGTAGTAACGGAATTAGCAACACCAAAAATGGAAACAAAAAATGATTTGAAAATTAAATTTACAACACTTACTAACATTTAGCTAGCGAGTGATTCTACTTTTTCTTATTCACATTTTTATGCGTTTATATATATATATATATATATATATATATATATATATATATATATATATATATATATATTTTGTGTGTGTGTGTATATATATATATATATAGATAGATAGATATCTTGAAGATTACGTTCAAACATGAGGCAGACTGCCACCGCTCAGTGTGAACCTCAGTGTCCATTTATACAATACACACACACACACACACATATATATATATATATATATATATATATATATATATATATATATTTATATATATATATATATAATAATGATTAATGAATTTATTTTTAATTCAAACGTTATCTTTAGTAGATACCCGTGTTTAAAATAAACGCCCTATTTTAATTTTTAAACAGTGTGTATTACGTCAGTGTTAGTAAGTAGGCCGATAGACGTAATACGCACTGTTAAAAATAAAAACAGGTCATCTAAACATGGGTATCCATTAAAAATAACGTTTGATATATATATATATATATATATATATATATATATATATATATATATATATATATAAATATAGTCTTAAGGTATGCTATATTTATGGAATAAAGTGCTCAATATCAGAGATAGACCGTGTAAATATATAAAAGTGAACATAGAAGTCAACACTTAGAGGCGACAGTCTGTTTCATGCTATATGCAATCGTCAGGCCTAATTAGTATATATTTTATATATATATATATGTATTGAATTTTATTCTGTACACGAATTTATAAATATTTTTAAATATAACCCATGAACTGAATTGATGGTGATATGCTAATTTAGGCGAAAATAATGAGAAAAAAATAATTTAACACGGTCTTTCACACTCGCACAATATATGCAGAGTTGTGTATATTATCACTGTCTTGTATGTTTGGTAAAATAAAACATCCTATTTTAGGATCATTAATTATATTTGCACTTTTCAAAGTTAATTACATTCAATAATAATCTTCGACAGTTTGTTTATGACGCAGAGCGTATAGTAAACGTTTTTTAATCTTAATCCATCTGCAGACATCATTTAAGTTTTTTCTTGTAACTTTTGATTTTGATATGCATATAATCATGCATTTCATTTTATTTTAGTAAAACAAATCCTTTTAAGCAAAAGGCATTTAATATCAGTCGACCTCTATCCATTCTGACATTATTATGAGAGACTTGCAAAGTAGGGAAGTTTAACATTCGTTAATTTGTTTTGCTAACCTAAACCAATACAAAATCAAACTTGTACGCTCTTTTATAATATTGCTTTAAGGAGATTAATTTAGCTATTTTTCGATCTTTCGATTAATTTAATTCGAAAGAAATTTGAATTTTAAAACTAAAGTACGTCTGATACTGGTGGTTCAAAGAATGGTCTTACGGTCAGAAAATGGAATCGGAGTACCGAGTTAAAATTTCGGCTTGAACAGTTGGCGTTCACTTTGCATTAATTCCTCCACTCAGTTATGAGCAAAAAGTAGGGCATTTTGAACATTTTAGCTCTGTAAGGCAGTCATTCTCGAGCGTCAGATCCAATAAAAATGCACTTACTATTGGAACTGCAGTAGTATCACTGTGGTTGCCGTTCTATGTTCCACAATGTCTACTGGGATAAACATACACACGTCTGTTACAACTAAATATTATTACTACTAAGCAGCGTATGACAGTAATAACTTCACCTGGTTGGTTTTTGTAACCTAATCGGTAAAGTTCTGTCACGGAAATGTAGAATACAAAATGCAAGTTTCAGTTTCGCCGGAGATTTTTTTTTATTTCCAATCATACTGATTACACAGTAGTCGTAGAATAAACAGAAATTACTTGTAATGTTAGAGCAAATCGAAAGCATTTTACATTAAACAAATAAAAGTCACAACCGACAAAACTTTCTGATTTATGGCTAAAAAAAACCAACATTTATACAAAAAATAATAATGCTGGAAGATTTTCAAAATTTAAAGAAATTATAAGTCGAAATAACAGGGGAAAATGTCAGTAGATCTTAAATAAGAGTCACTAAGCGTAAAAGACATCCGAATTCTACCAAGAATTACTTCTGAAAAGATCGCAAGACTAGCTTCCTGCTGGTCACAAGATTTTTCAAATTTCCAATTAATCTAAATGCAAACGCATATAGACAAATAAGAATTTTGCAAAACAATAAAAAATGATTACTTTTAAAAATGCTTTTAAATTTGTTTTTTTTTTATATTATTATTTATCCCATACTTTGTATGTAATTTGAAAGAGAGTCTTGTAAACTTTACATTCTTTCGGATACATACATGCACACTCACACAGGTACACAGAGAGGTTGTATTTATATATAGGCAACTGATTTTCGAACGTGTCTCAAAATTTGTAAGAAAATTTTAGGACGTGATATATAATTTTTACAAGCATAAAAAACTTTTACCTGTGAATTTGTAAGAGATTAGCACATCAGACATCAGATCACATTTGACAAATCTTTGAGAAAGTTTATATTGATATATATATATATATATATATATATATATATATATATATATATATATATATATATATGTATAGATAGATAGATAGATAGATGTGTGTGTGTGTGTATATATATATATATACACACATATCAACATATGATATATGTATGTGTATGTATATATATATATATATATATATATATATATATATATTGATCGTCAACAAACCCAGTCCGATGAAGTCCTAACAGATGAAACGCGTCACGAAAACTTTTTTACAATTTGTCATACATTTTTCTTTCAAAAACTGTTCCAAAATTTACATATCGTTATCAACACTTAGAGGCTCAACACTTAGAGGTCTCTAAGTGTTGACTTCAATGTTCACTTTTAAATTTACACACGCTCTATCTCTGATATCGAGCACTTTATCCCATAAATATAGCACACCTTAATAGTATATTTCTTTATATATATATATACATATATATATACACTTGTGATACAGAAGATTTTATAGAATTAGAATCTGTTCAGAACGATGATTGCTTGTGCTAATATACAGCGTTTACAATTATTTTTTTATTTAATTTCAAGCTCAGATTTGTGCTTTTGTTGTAAAATTATTTTATTTTTAAAAATCTATTTTTAAAACATTGGCGATATTTTAACAGATAAAAATTACCGTTTAATGATACGCAATACTTTAATCAATTCCTATCAACTGATAAATTACTGTTTAAGTATGACTTACTCGTTCTTATATTTAAAAATAATTTTTGGATTTCGAATTACCTGTTTCTTTATGAAAACCAGACCAGTTCAAGTAAAAAAAAATATAATATATATTTATTTTGTAAAATAAAAAATACTGTGACATGTTTCGCCGATGATCCAGCGTAATAATAATTATTTTCCTTATGATAACATGTCACCGGCAAAACACATCAAGGTGAAACTGTTGCAAACTGCCATATATTCCATCTCGTCGGACTCTTATTCAAATCTATTAATACACACACACACATATATATATTTTGTGTATTTAGGCAGCGTTTTTTCGTACATTTTCATTCTTCGTTTAATGATAATGTTATTAAGCTTATCAGACGTTATGAAAAGAATTTCCATAAAATAAATAGACAATACTTGTCTATATTATTTAATGAAACATGTATGAATCTATATATATATATATATAAGTTCACTTCTACAGTCCAAAATAACGGCTCTATTTAAGTAATTTATTCACTTATATTGATTATATTTCCTGTTCGTGTAATCTAGAGGTTTTATGTACACAATTTATATTGTTATTTACATTATTTTGATAATTCGAAGTTTTAACCTCATCTTTATTGCCATATTCAAAACGTTCCCGCCATTAGAATTAGAACAATCTATGCCCGTAGACTAAATGAAGAGTTCGGCTCGAAATTCCAACGTATATCACCTGTAGAAGGCCTGACCACACAACGGCCGAAACGTTGTGAATATGGCAAAAATGATGAGGATAAGAGTCCGAACGATGTAAATAGTCACAATACCTCATCTCAGAAATATAGGCAGACAAATTAATTCTGTTGTTGCAATTACGATTTTCTTTTGAAATCAGTCAACGTAAAATATACCAAGAAAGTTCATAAAGGAAATTTAATAGGAAAGCCTAGACTCAACTATGGTGACAAACATGACAAACGTGACAAACATGAAACCCAGGGTCACACACTCTTATCCATACAACTTATGTATACATATACATACGCATACATACATATTATATGTGCGTGTATTTCTGCATTTACTATCAGACTGGCAACTATTTAACGCATTGTAATAGTATATATGAGATTGGTAAAAAAAGTTTCCAAATATTTCATTCTTTTTTTTCGAGTGAGAGAGAGAGAGAGAGAGAGAGAGAGAGAATTGACTTCGGCCTTCACTATCTATCAACAATTTAATTTTAAAACTTTCACAATTACTAATTTTTGTTTCTCGTGAAGATCTAGGAACATATGAATGCTTTCTAAGTGAGCCTTAGTTCTGCCGAATTGATACCACGAGCACAAAGTAGAAATGATCAACCGTACGGCAGTTTCGGATTTATTGATCCATTACTGAAGTATATATTGTATTGATTGAATTATATATCATTTAAAAATTTTATTTTATTTTCATCACCTGAGCTTAAATGATTTGACGTTTAACGGCAACCCACACAATATATAGAATAGTCTTGTTAACTAGTAACATGTGAATGGATTTGTAAAAAGCATCAGTGCCATCTGCACTTATCAATATGTATGGAGATTGCAATTTGAAAAGAAATATATATTCTGTGTT